GGCACGCAAAAGAAAGACTAACAAGGGTGCGGGCCAGCCGGCACCGTGTACGATCCGTGCTCAGGACGGGCCACCTTCACCTGAGGATATCTCGAGGAGGGTGCATGTGGCGGGTAGGCCGATGCTACCGAGAAATATGCTCGATGCTGCAACCGGTGCTATGTGGAGTCTGCATGACAGTGTTCTTTCTTTGGAGAAGCGGCGTCTCGGAGAGAAGGATGTGGCATACCCGGTTTTCGCGGCCAAGGTGCCAGAGGGCAAGGGCTTTGTGGATAACTCCATCGGGGGTATGATTGTCCTGCGGTTTGATGACATCCACGCTATGTTGAACCTTCATCCGCTGCACTACACCTTCGTTCGGCTATTTTCGCTGAGTATGGAGATGCGGATCATTCGCGACAAGACCCCGGACATCGTGATAGTCGACCCCTTCTACATGCGTGCCAAGATCTTGGGCAGTGCTGGGGACTGGCAAGTCGCGAGTTCTTACCTCGAAGGCGTCATTCTGCCAAACCAAGATAAGGATAACTTCCTCGTGCCTAACTTTCCCGAGTAAGTCCTCCCCTCAACCGCCCCGTAACATATGAATTCTTAGATTTCGATCGTTTTTCTTTTAACATTCCGTGTTTTCTGCAGTGACACACATTGCACGCTCATCCTCCTAAGCCCCAAATATTCCATGGCCACGTATTTCGACCCGGACCGTCAGTCGAACGTAGACTACACAAATGTCAAGAAGGTTCTTGATGATGTTCTTCCCGACTACGTCAAATCTGGAGGCACCTTCACCAGGCCTATTCGTAAGTACGGCAAGCACATGTTCTCCCACAATACGACGTTCTGCTGCGTCAAGCAGCCGCCTGGCGGTCAGAAGGGTGCCTACTACGCCATCCATCACATGCGGGCGATCGTACGGGACCATCATCAACTTCTGCTACCGAGTAGACTCAAAGATTGGGCCGCGAGCGTGTCGGCAATCCAGGACGCGGACATCAGACAAGAATTCTTTCGCATCCAGTCGGAGTTTGCGGAAATCATCCATCAAGATGTCCTTCGTACCTCAGGGAAGTTCTACCTCAGAAATCAACCATCCAACAGTCATATCGACACAATCCTACAAATGCAGGCTGACAACGCCCGTTGTTTCATGACTCCCACGATAGACGGCGGCTTCATCCGCGCTCCGGTTCCTTGAGTCGAGTCGAAAGCAGTGATGTTGTGTCTAGTTCTGAAACATCGATTGGCTCATGTTGTAATTAAACTTTAATGAACTTGTAGTATGTCTCTTTGGTTTCGAGAGTCATTCAACTTAGATGTAATCGATGCTATTAATGTCTTGCTTTTCTCTTCCGATCGTTCTGTTGCATACTTATATATTGCTTATGTATTGTCTGTGAATTGGTACTAACGTTTCGTTTGGCTACTGCATAGCGATGCCGTGGTATGTCGTGTACAAGGGTAAGGTTCCCGGAGTCTACGACGACTGGGAGGAGTGTCGGGGACAGGTTCACCGATTCAGCGGTAACAGTTACAAAGGGTACACCACTAGGGCCGAGGCCGAATCTAGATACGCCCGCTATCTAGCGGGAAAGGGGAGGGAGCGTTGGAGGAACCGGATGAAGACGAGTTTCATCGTGATGATGCTCATCGTGATGACCGCAGCTCTCTTCTATGTGATGGTAGTTTAGATGATCGATATCGACTTGTAATGTGAAGACAAACTCGCGGTCTCGAGACTTGTAATATAATATTTTATCTTTGTTCGGTCTTTTCAATTCGGAGACTAATATGATGAATTGTATTCGGAGACTAAAATGATGAATTGTATTCAGAGACTAATCTTCTATTGTATTTGATGAATCTGTTGTTGATGTGTGCTGTCTATATTTTGTCCAATTATACATTTTTTAACCTGTGCAAAAAACAGAAAAATAAAAAATAAAAAAAACCTAATATTCATACTAATGGCGCATCACATCATAGTGCGCCATTAGTATGCCAAAGGATACTAATGGCGCATCCTGTTGTTGTGCGCCATTAGTATGCCAAAGCACCTGGGTATACATGGCCCCCTGGGAGGCATACTAATGGCGCACTGTTGTATATACTAATGGCGCATCTGAGGTGCGCCATTAGTATACCAGATACTAATGGCGCACCAGTGGTGCGCCATTAGTAAAATATACTAATGGCGTGGCACTAATGGCGCACCACTAATGCGCCATTAATGGCCAAATTAGGTGCGCCATTAGTAGGCCTTTTTCTAGTAGTGAGGGTTTCCCAACCCTAGGCGCAGGAGGGCCCAAGGAGGGGCGCACCAGCCCACCAGGGGCTGGTTCCCCTCCCACTTCAGCCCATGGGGCCCTCCGGGATAGGTGGCCCCACCCGGTGGACCCCCGGGACCCTTCCGGTGGTCCCGGTACAATACCGGTAACGCCCGAAACCTTCCCGATGGCCGAAACTGGACTTTCTATATATAAATCTTTACCTCCGGACCATTCCGGAACTCCTCGTGACGTCCGGGATCTCATTCGGGACTCCGAACAACTTTCGGGTTACTGCATACTAATATCTCTACAACCCTAGCGTCACCGAACCTTAAGTGTGTAGACCCTACGGGTTCGGGTGACACGCACACATGACCGAGACGCCTCTCCGGTTAATAACCAACAGCGGGATCTGGATACCCATGTTGGCTCCCACATGCTCCTCGATGATCTCATCGGATGAAGCACGATGTCGAGGATTCAATCAATCCTGTATTCAATTCCCTTTGTCAATCAGTACGTTACTTGCCCGAGAGTCGATCGTCGGTATCCCAATACCTTGTTCAATCTCGTTACCAGCAAGTCACTTTACTCGTACCGTAATGCATGATGTCGTGACCAACCCCTTGGTCACATTGAGCTCATTATGATGATGCATTACCGAGTGGGCCCAGAGATACCTCTCCATCATACGGAGTGACAAATCCCAGTCTCGATTCGTGCCAACCCAACAGACACTTTCGGAGATACCCGTAGTATACCTTTATAGCCACCCAGTGACGTTATGACGTTTGGCACACCCAAAGCACTCCTACGATATCCGAGAGTTGCACAACCTCATGGTCTAAGGAAATGATACTTGACATTGGAAAAGCTCTAGCAAACGAACTACACGATATTTGTGCTATGCTTAGGTTTGGGTCTTGTCCATCACATCATTCTCCTAATGATGTGATCCCGTTATCAATGACATCCCATGTCCATAGTCAGGAAACCATGACTATCTGTTGATCAACGAGCTAGTCAACTAGAGGCTCACTAGGGACACGTTGTGGTCTATGTATTCACACATGTATTACGATTTTCGGATAACACAATTATAGCATGAATAATAGACAATTATCATGAATAAAGAAATATAATAATAACCATTTTATTATTGCCTCTAGGGCATATTTCCAACAATTTCTGCTACTTTATGTCTTGTAGACGAGTGTTGTAGTCAGGTAGCCTTTCTAGTGCTGCCTAACTGAGACTTGTGGTTGATGTACGAACTGAGTTGGTCTGGTTTCATTGATCAATGCAATGGAGCCGGGGCTTTCGAGCCCTTTTCCTCTAAAAAAAGAACAGGCCAACGAGTTGCCAAGGTCTAGGTTTCCAATGCAAAATACTAGAGATGTAATAAAATGATACATGTGGTGATAGCATAATAGCATTGTGGCCATCTGTGGGCCACAACTTTGTCCGTCGTTTACTTAAGAAATATAGTATTCGGTCGTGTTCTCTTTTTTTCAGAACGAAGTTGTCGAGCACATATTAAGATGCAAATAAACTTAAGTGACCAATATTTGTGTGAAGAACAAACAAAATCATTGATTCAAGTTTGAGCGAAAAAGAAATAAAGCTCGAAGACTAGTTGAAACTGATTCTTGGCGGTGCTAAATGCTGTTTCATCCTGTAACTTGTGCTTCTGTAGGTCTCGATTTCGACAGACCAAGATGCATGTCAACGCCGACATCAAATCAGCTACTGTGAATTATTCTCTATATAATGGCTTCTTCGGTAGCTCTCGGCTATCACCTACCTTCAGATCTTCTACTGCCCAGCTGCTAGAAGCTATTCTTACAAAGTGACACGTCGAGCAAGACCATGTATGGTTCCCGGAGACGAAGCACAGTTTGATGAATGAATACTATAGTAGTTGTCTTGGATATTACATCTCATATACTCAAATTGGCAGTGCATATCTGCGTTGTGCTTTCGGGATTTTCTTTTCTCCGAGAATGTCTTATGTAACTCAAATACATTCGAAATATGAACGTGGTTATAATGGTCTGCTTACCACATTGGTGGCGTTCACGGCCCGGGGCATGGCCTTGAAAAGGCCTAGCACCATAAGTAGCAATTGGCTATGTCCAAACTCAAACCTCGTATTTTATCTAAGCACAGGAGTCATAATAAGGAAAGAAGACATAAGAATGGGAAGTATCGGCTAGTTATAATGTAGTATAAAGAGAGCTATTTCATAGATCTTGGTCACAATAAAAAGGCACCCCAAGGGCTATATTTCACATTGTAGCATGTACAGTAGACCACTGTAGTAGCATCGGAGCATGCTCCGCCCCATGCTTACTAGAAGTTTTGCAATTTCCATCGCCAAGCTTACGACGATGTCTAGAGGGGGCAGGTATAGTTATAGTATTTACTTTGCGTCAAATCACAACTTGGAGTCCACCATGATGTTATTTCTCAGCTAGACAATGGAGATGGGCTATGTTGGCTATGTTGGCCCTATCCATACGAGAAAAGCAAGCCCTTAATCAATTACTGTCAATGCCCCTCACAATAAAGAAAATAGTCAATGTTGGCTATGTTGGATATGTGCTGCCTCTAAACAGTGGGGCAAGGATACCGTTGTCATATCCCTAGTGAGGGTCTGATATTGCCCATATAACCACTCGCGCCGCTCTTCATGGCGATGCCAGGGCCCCAACCCTAGCACCGCCAACCCCGATGTCGGTAGCTCCCCTGCCGCAGCAGCTGCCGGCGTTGGCCGCAGGCCAGGCGCTGAAGGTTCCACGTCTAGGGCGGTACTTGTGGGACGGTCATGCGCAGCAGTCAGGGCGGTGGCCATTGGTTCTGCCCCCTCACTATAAATTTGTATTCAACTTTTATTATTGATCCTAAAAATTGGTATTTTCAACTTCAGACACCAAAGTGAGCATGCATTCCATGTTTAGACATCACCCGTGCATTTAGCAAAATTGCCATTTATTTTCTTTTACCAATATTTGTTTGTTGGTGCGTGGCCCTGATTCACACTCTGGCTTTTTATGTTTTCTAAAATTAAGGGCAAGCCAGTCCATGGCAGCTCATCGCCAATTTCCATCGCCAAGCTTACGACAATGTCTAGAGTATGATGGATGTATCTGGAAAAAAATACCTAGCACCAACGTTTATGTCTGCTAGCAGAAATCCAGCACTGTCTATCCTTCCTGCTGGGATCAACCAACGTGTACAACGGGTGCAAGACAAACACACAAAAGTAGAGAGAGATACATTAGCCCTAATCTTGTCATGATGTATCACTATGTTTACTTTTGAGTTTAGATTCTCTAGGGTAGTGTGCGTAGGCCAATGAAGGTTCAATTGTGCGTGTGACCAAGGCGAAATGCGGCCAGCACGGCAATATACCTGTGGTGGCGTGAAGTTGCAGTGCTGCGCGATGCGGCATGGTTGTGTGAAGCGACAAGGCACGTGCAGGCTCGAGCCAGATGGGCCGGACAATCAGTTGGAGCCGAGAGAATCCGCCAGTCCGTTAGTTTGTTAGTTTGCTTTGTGGGTGTGTTTTGCATGTTGGCTGAGTCATGCGTTAGTGGCCTGAGTTAGTGTGTTAGTGTGTGAGGTTAGCGTGTGGCTTGGTTTGTGCCTGATCCTACTTAAGCATTATAATCATGCTTGCTTTGAGCCAAGAGAAATAGAAGAAGAGAACAGGGCAGGTTGCATGAGGCAGCTGAGCCAAACTCGTGTGTCTCCTTTGTTCTTGTGAGAGTTGTGTGAGGCAGCCTAAAATCTCAGGGAGAAGCATAAAATCCTGTGAGAGAGAGGCATGGAGAGCGTTCATAAGAAGGCACTCGGCATGGTGACGCTACTGATGGTTCTGCAGCTGCTCGTGGCGGCCATGGCTCGCTCACCACCGGAGGAGATGGAAATGGTGGCGGCGCAGTCAAAAAAGATAGCGATCGAGCGCCTCGTCCTGAAAGCACCTCGGGGAGACGCCAGATGCGCTGACGAAACATGCTATACTGGTTTTTGCTTCGTCGTCGCTGGTTGCAGCTGCCAGTATCCCTACTGTAGGAAGCCTCGCGTTCCAACGGCAGTTCATGCTTGAAAAGCTTCACCTTCCATTCGTCGACGGACCCTAAAACGTTGGATTTTGCTTTCTCTCTAAAAAAAGAGCTAATATGCATACGTTTGTGATTTAAGTGTGAACTATGTATGCATACATGGCTCATGTCTGTCTGGGGATGCGGATAGGGGCGATGTTGATATACCTACGCTAATTTGGTGATTCAATAAGTGATGTATGTGCGTGATCGTGTATCACTACCATCCATGTGTGTGGCATGCATGGTAGTTTAGTAGCATGCAGGTAATTGGTCGTATCTGCTATATATGTCTCTCCCGTGTAACTCAAATACACTTGAATTTTGAAATATGAGCATTTTTGTACTATGGCAAGTAGTATTTTATAAATGTCTGCTTTCTCTTTGCAATGTAATCGTTCTAAGTTTACCACTTGGATTCGGATCACTCTTATACCAGATCGTTTTCATACAGAAATATTTATGGAAGAGTTTAAATGATGCTTGATGCCTACTGGGGAGGACAGGACAACTGGAGTGGGGGTGACAACTTGGGATGCTGCTGAAGATATATAGACGCCCACACCTGGACAAGCGCGACGAGAGGAACACGATGAGCCCAACTTCAGCTCTGGAGTTCATCAGATCGCCGATTGCTCTGGTGTCGCAGCAGATGACCTGAAACATCCATCGCCATCATACCCCATCTTACCCCATTTGGTCTGTAATATGTTCCTGTTCTTAAGTAGATGATCCGTCCTGAGACGCTGGATATGTAATAAAGCACCTTCTTTCTTTCCTGATTTTGCTAGGTGGGCTTATCCTAGTAGTTTACTTTCAGTCTTTTTGTTTTCAGACCTGTGAACTAGTCCTGGTTATTTTTGCAGCTTTATTATATGCAATGGAGCCGGGGAGGGCTCTCCCCTTTGATCTAAAAAAAATGCTGCTTGACTTGGATTCAGATCACTATAATAGTCGATCGTTTCATGCAGAAATATTTGAGAGGCAAAGTGTTGGCACTTGCCATGGACTCGGATCACTGATATAGTTGATCGTTTACATGCATAATATTTGAGAAATTAACTATACTGTTTAGCTTGGATTCAGATTGTCCCAGAGTCGATCGTTTTCGTGCAGAATTTTAGAGTTGATAGGGCTAAACCTGGAACAGTCATTTAGCCTGACCGTCATGACAGATTCACCCGTGAGAGTGGTTCTTCTACACCCACTCTCGGTGCACCCACGGTGCACCCATGCAAGAAAACATGTCAAAACATTTCGAAAAAATCTGAAACTTTGTCGAAATGATCATCAACAAATATTAGAGAGACTTGCAAAATTTGATGGTCAAATAACATTCGAGGAGCTCTATACAAAAAAGACAAATTCACTGAAAATTAGTCAAAATGTAAATGCACTGTCTGAGCAGATTTTGTAATTTTGTCTTTTTTTAGAGAGCTTGCCGGTGTGATGTGTCCGTCGTGGTACTGGCGTACGTGGTGCGCAGGTTCTCCTCTACCTTTTGTCTCCGTTCCGACCAAGGTGCCTCCAGCGTCACTGTGAAATAAAATCGGCGGTGACACTGATTGAGAAGTCCGTTTATTCTGTCGCTCCAGTACATGGGTGCGAGCTGCGAGGCGAGCAGGCAAGGCAAGTTTCTCGCTTCACCCATCCTTATCAATTCGATTCTTCTTTACAGTCGTCTAAGATAGAACAGAGAGTAGATGCACGACACGAACTACTACATTGATTCATTGGATTTGACCAACGTTGTAGGATAAATCAGCCTCAATTTTGAGGATCCCCTCTGTACCTTTTATTTACATGCAGTCTTCCAAGGAACCACTTTGGAAGGTGATGAACGTCAGACAGTGGTGAAGCAGTAGTAGCTAGGGTGGCGCGCTACACCTCTGCGCTATGTAGACAATCACGGACATGGTAGGTTAGCTGGAATCATTGTCGAGTAAGGTGAGGAACCAAACGCACCCTAAGCTTCCACACACCTATCAAGGGAGGTTGGGTTATCTTTCCCTTTTCCCTTATTCTCTAATGTGTAAGTCATTGAGATGACGACGGATGCGGCTGTGAGAAGTGATGATTCTCCCGATCCCCCTTTCAGTGGTAAGGCATCCTATTATATGTCTCTTTTTGGCTCTTATTTTTCTATGATACAATTTTGTTTCTATGATTAATTCATCTCCTCAATACAGATATCCTAATTATGTTTGGCTCTGGGAGCGTGACTATGTAACCCAATTCTGTTGCTTCTTGACTTTACATATTCAGCTCACCATTAAGATCACAACTTTATGATATTCTTGACGTGAAGGTAGTGTGTATCTTCTTTTATTATACATGCTCCATAGTACTAATTATAGCCGAAAATAGTGCTTTTCAGCTAGATTATTTGAGTGCAACCTAACCCTGTTCGCAGTAGGCTGGTAAGCCATCAATCTAAATACATTACAATTTATTAATTAATAGTTCTGATATCGGTATCCTTCGGAGAAGGGATCATGGTTAGTTCCCTGATGATGATAAAGGATTGTCTATGTTTTTGTTTGCAAAAGTCCACATCTTTAGTTATTTAATTTGCTATGTCAAACTAAAGTTAATTTCATTTTGTAGCACATACACTTTTTGTATTTACGTAAGATGGTGGAACTGGATACAAACTTCTGTGATGTGCTTATCAAAAAATCAAAATAGAAGCAACCAAAACAAACAAAGCACAATATAATTGTTTTAAACTCGATAAGTTCCTGAAGTTACAACCCATTTCTTGTATGAAACAGAGCATGGCATAGAAGCGTCCCTATTCGATAGCTCTATGTCCTTTATCATTTGAAATATTTACACGGTGCCGGTGCCGGTGCCAAATGCTTTTACCTGGCTGCACTATGGAAATTGAGTCGAATTACACTTATCAAACTTTGTTGTAGCTATATGTGAGTCTCCCACCAAATTTTTGACAATTGCTCAATCAGGCCCACTTCCAATTGATGTTTTTTTATTACAGTTTTGCTTACCAACAAGTTCTTGGTATTATTGTCTCAGAACATGACAACATGCATCTTTTCAACCAGACGCTCCTTGCAAGGCAGAGTTGGAGATTGCTACAAAACCCAGGAAGCCTTTGTGCCAGAGTTTTAAAATCGAAGTATTATCCTCATGGAAATCTATTGGACACGGTCTTTTCTACATACGCATCCCAAGCCTGGAGAGTAATTGAGTGGGGTCTAGAATTGCTCAAAAAAGGCCTGATTTGGAGAGTGGGGAATGGAAAGAACATCCAAATTCAGAGAGATCAATGGATCCCGTGAGAAGCTGGACTGCGTACGGCTGCCTTTGTGAGAAGATCACGTCTGCGGTGGGTAAACCAGTTAATGAAACGGGGTACTAGAGAATGGGACCTGAATCTGATAAACCAAAATTTTCATTCCTTTGATGCCGAGGAAATCGTCAAAATCCGGATCCCCTCAGTGGAATATGAAGACACGGCTGCATGGCACTACGAGAAAAACAGGGTTTTCACGGTGAAGAGTGCATATAAACTGGCCGAACAACTCATGAGGGACAGTTCGTCGAAACCATCAAGCTCAGGGAGCGAGGTGGGTGACCGAAAATTGTGGGACTTGATTTGAAAGGCAAAGGTCCCTGAAAAAGTTAAAATCTTCGGATGGCGAGTGGCAACGCGAACTCTGGCGATTCTAGTAGTAGTTTGTTGCCTCACTGCTACTAATTTACAGTTAGTATACACCTATATAGACCAACAGTCCAGCCGTACTAAATACTTAACCAACGAAGCCTCTCATGTTGCCATATGCCCATATCTCAATGACTTACTGAAATTGTAACAAAAGGAAGAATAATACTCCATTATTACCTACAGTCCAGTGAAATAAACCAAATTGTCCGTATCCAAGTAGAAGCAAAAGGTGCTCAGATCTAGAAATTACCTACAGTCCAGTGATTTATCCTCAAGACAGAACTAGGGAGTGCGCCCTCCTTGCCGGTGAGGGGGGAGAAGAAGACGTCCTCGCTGCGGCGTGTTGTGGGAATTTCATCGAACTGGTGGCATGCCGGAACTAATCTTTATGACCCTGGTCACCTCCCTCCTCCAGATTGGTGGCTCTTCTCCCTGATCATCAAATCGATGCTCAAACTACCAAAATCAGAAGCAAGCCAGCAACAATTAAGAGTTTTCTTCATCCGCGGAACCAGTCACTAGCACCTAATAAGGGAATAAATAACCTCCACGAGCACGATGTAGAGCAGTGGGGAGAAGAGCAATACAAAACCACTCCCTTTTCATTTATAGCATGTACGTAGAAACTAGTACTGCTTATCAAAACTTACACGGAAAAAATACAAACCGACTCAAGATCATAAGTTAACACCCACACACACGGTACGACTAGAGTACTGCAAATAGGAAAAACAACCAACCGTTCTCATATATACTTGGATACGGACAATTTGGTTGTTTCCATTATTTCCAACACAACAGGTACATCATGGTTCACCGAGTCGCATAATAATGCTCACCAAAACGACCGTTGTGTTGGGCGGCGGTGCTAGAGAAATCTGCGCCGCCAAAATCAGGGCGGCGTGGTCGCTCGCGCAAGCTGACGCGGTGGGATCTTCTACGAGAAGATGCACGACGACCGTTGCGTTGGGTGGTGGTGCTAGAGATTTCTTCGTCGCAAGAACGAGAGGGGCTTCCATGGCGTGGGCGAGCACCACGGGGAGAGTTTCTTGCATCGTTAGAGCGGCCTTGGCGCGCGCCGGCGCGAGAGACACTACTATGTGCGCGCTGCGGTGAGCTCGTGGTGAGCCCCATGATGCAGTTGCCAATTTCTAAGCTACCGAGAAAGCTACTAGGAAGGATGGTTTTACCTACACTACAGGAGAAATCTAAGCTGAGAGGAAGCCGCGCGCAGAGGACGCTAAGAGGACGCCGTAGTTGGGTCTAAGCGGCCTACTTATAGAGTATGTTCCACACCACATGCGTAAATGGAGGAAAAGTCTGTCCGATTGGAGTGGGAACACAAGACTTCAGAAAGGATACCAACTGTGTGGGTGAAATGTTAGGACTAATCTTGCTTGCTTGCTTGCGTAGCTAATGTTCACGCATGTCGGCAGTGTAT